TGCTCCGTGAGGCGTTGTCTCCGTCACGACTAATGTTGGAAATATGCTCTAGATGCAATAATAAATCTTATTATTTATTTCCATGTTTGTAAGTCATTCATATTTCTATGCTAGAATTGATATGGCTCTTGAATGTGAGATTCCGAGGAAAACTCATATGCATGTGTAGAAACATAAACACAAAGTAGGTTCGTAGTCTCACCTCTCCATAGTGGGAGATTACACAGTTCAAACAATTAGGAATTTTTCTGAACGTAAAATAAACAAAGAAAAATCTTTGAATTCAAGAACAACTACTGATTACTAAACTCTGATTTTGCCTTTTTGTTATAAAAAATAATTATTATTTATTAAACTAAAAAACTAACTACTGCTTATTGGAAATTATTTCTTAGTCTGAATCATACTAGATTTTCGTGATATAATATAATTTCTAACTATATACAACTTATACACAGAAAATTTACCTTGATCTGTTTTTCCTCTTGAATCCTTTAGTTTTAGTTAGCTCATGAAAAATTTAAAACTATTAATTTAGTATTATCCATAATGGATTTATCTAGACCAATATATTGGATTTTTATGCTATTTGGGGGATTTCTTCTTCTACTAGGGGGTTTACCAGTAGTATTAGTTACCGACCCTATTTATTCTGCCTTTTCGTTGGGATTAGTTCTTGTTTATATATCCGTATTCCATTTTATTATTTAATTCATACTTTGTAGCTGTCGCACAACTTCTTATTTATGTGGGAGCCATAAATGTCGCAATCATATTCACCATAATGTTCATAAATCGCTCAGAATGGTCTGAAGATAAGAATCGTTGGACTATTGGAGATGGGTTTACTTCACTCTTTTGTATAACTATTGTTCTTTCACTAATGACTACTATCCCAGATACATCATGGTAGAAGGGGATTTCTGAAGCATCATGTATTCATGTTGGACAGGTGTGTTTGGGTGTCTTTTCCATGTGCTTTCATTTGGCACCGATGTATAATTTATTGCAGGTTTGTTTCCATAAATCTTAGAACATAATGCAGTGAATTATTGCTATGGAAAACTTAAAGGACAACCGTCTTGTAAAAATAGTGGTCAACAGTGGCACTGGCGGAGCTACGGCAAGGCCGAAGTGGCCGTGGCCCGCCCAGGATCTCTGTGATTTTTAGTTCATATACTATGCATCGGTAGGTAGCCCATGAGCCTGGTCTACTATCGGACACTGCCTAGACCCCTAATCCCTTCTAAGCTCGATTTAGTGGGAGATTCGCACGACCCCAGCCATAGAGAAGTAATTAACTACTGGCTCCAAGGAGCAGCCGAGCAACAGCGGCATCCCTAAAGCAAAAAACATAAAAGCACCAGCGACCGCTTTGTTTACCGGCTGTATATATCTGCTGATCTAGTTAAAAAATTGCTGAGGACTGACTTACGTCTAATGAAATAGCACGATTCATCATATTTTTTTTCAAAAATGTGCACTTGTTTGTCTGGCCCGCCCAACTATTTCTGTGAAGCTCCGCCACTGAACAGTGAGTGATGATATTCATGTCTTTGGAGATTGCTGGACGCTTATACTGATCTTATAAGCTTTACCGATCAAAAAGTCAACTGGTTTCGTGGTGTAGTTGGTTATCACGTCAGTCTAACACACTGAAGGTCTCCGGTTCGAACCCGGGCGAAGCCATCGAATTAGTTTTTTTTTTGCTCGCATTTTCGAGTAAAAAAAGAAAAAGAAAATAAGATATATTTGGCCCATACAGGTCTCGAACCTGTGACCTTCGCGTTATTAGCACGACGCTCTAACCAGCTGAGCTAATAGGCCACGTTGCTTTTTATAGATATTTACGTTATATATCTGTACGCTGATTACAAGGGGTAGTGATCCATAAATCAGTTTGTGCCTTATATTATTGGCTAATTGCCCATTTCACTGTCTATATTTGCAAGTATCCTTCCCTGTTGGAATCTCCTTTTTGCCACTGTTTCTCACTTTCTGTGGTGTGATGTGTGCGTGAATATTCCCACAGCAACTACACAATAATAAAGCCATATACGCAGGCGACCGAATAATGGCAATGATATATTACTGCTCAAGGTGCATCTCCAAACCAACCTACGGGACTAGTAGGGCTGGGAACCATAAGTTGTTTTCTATGGACTACTTGACGTGTATTTTTTTTCCTTTCCCCTTGACATGTATTCGTTAGGAAAATTTATGTCGAGCCAAATCTCGCGGAAATAATTTTGTTGGTTCAGTGACAACTATGTGCTTGCAACTAATGCTTTCGACAATTCTTGCATTTTTTTTCCTTCTGTAGTAAATAAACATCCTTATTTTAATCATTAGTCGATCTTCATTCCCACAGGATTCAACGCAGCATGACATGAAATATGAATGGTAATTTTACCAGTTCCCTTCTTTTAAAATGCTACAAACAGATGCGGCATGTAATATTCAAAATTAGTGGTTGTGTGATAGTTATTGAAATGCATGTAGGATGGAGACTAAATTTCAGTAAAATTCAGCTTATAACACTGAAACTGGAAAAGTTGCCAGCAGGGACGAAGCTAGAAAAAATCGGCACTGGTGTCAGCCAGTACCCACTACATACTAAACTACAGCAGGGAGATATAAATAAAACATACAAATCCGAAGATAATACAAACAATGAAAATATGCAATCAGCAAACAATATGAGAAAAGCTTGCCATACCCAGTAAACTCAAGAAATCACTTACATACAAATTAAGAAGAAGAAAATCTAAGAAAAAAATGGCTACTTTGGAGTTAGATTTGTAATTTCGAGAAATAGATGAACAAACAAAACATATCAGACTACCAAAAATGAATATCGTCAAGCGAAAATATAAAGTGACTCCAGACTCACATTTCCCTTCACGCCCTTTCACCTCTTTCTTTTACGAGAACATGAACTTTCACCTTCTTAAAGAGATCAGTCATGCCATCATTTGTAATGGAAGAAAATATATTTTTCCCCACATACGGAGTAGCAAATTAGTCAATCACTCATAATCTGCTCACCCATTTTGTTATGCAAAATATGGTTGCCAATATTAATTTTTTAAAAATCATCGACAATCAACAAAATTAGCACCAAATTTAGAATTAGATGCACCAAATTTTGCGTATCTACGTACGATCATGGTGTACCTTGCAGGAAACAAGGACTGGGGGACTTCCGTCAGCGACTATATTAGATTAAAATTGTGTTGTTGCCGCTGCGGCCGCCCGCCCGCCATCAAAACAAACTGTTGCTGATTCGCACTTTGTGTTGTTCCACTGAGAGGTGAGAGAGAGATTGGAGATTTCTACGGTTTTTTAGGGTGCGAGAATTCAGGACCGAGGCGGCGAAGAGACGAATAGGTACATGGGACGTGCGACCTGCACGTACGGCCGCGTATATCGGAGGCCAAGCAGCGATCATATCAATGTTTTGTGGGCTTTGTGTTGGCTACTTATTACCTTTTTGTTTGCACGACTGTAAATCAGGCTGACACTTTGGGCCTGTGCTGCTTTTTAGCATCTGGGCTGGGGTCAATCGATTTTTCTGGCTGGGGTCAAATGTAAAACTTGTTAAGCGTGTTAGAAGTAACGTTGAACTGCACTGGTGTCAGTTGACACCAGTGCTTGTACGGGAGCTCCGTCCCTGGTTGCCAGACCTATGGCAACCAAGAGCAGCCAAGATTTCTTAAATAAAAAAGATTTTCGGCGACCTCCCCCTAAGAAGCCATAACTTTTCCTTGTCTTGACATTTAAAAACATTGAGTGAGGGTTATCGACCCAATATATTTACTAAGGGCGTGCACGAAAGAGGGCTATCTATTTTTATTTTTGCTAAGGTTTCAGAATTTAGTTTGACTTTGATTTAATTTAAATTCATAACTTACCGAGAAATACCACTATAAAGTCAAGCAGCCCTAAACCTGACCATTATGGCTGCATGCATCA